GAGACTTGGTAAGCCAGACATGGAGGCGCCCCAAGCCTCTGACATCTATCTCTCTCTTCAGGGGGTTCCAGGTAGCCTATGTGGTGTGTTCCAGAAGCCAAGGGGGTGTCAGGCGCCTTGGCTCCCTGAAGGCCCCCGTTGGTGTCCAGAGAGCCACCTGTGAAGAGTGGTATCTGCCAAAGTTAAATGGGCCGCTGGGGTGACTGGCACCTCCCTTTCTGCCTCTGGGTTGGTGACACCTGTGGGGACAGTGTTTGAATGTCACCAGCCAAGTCCATGTCTCCCTGAGAGTGGCGTGCGGCAGGGAGGCCTGCAGGGACCGCTGGGCCAGGTCTGGGTCCCTAGGAGTCGTTAGCCTGGATTCTTGGCACAGAGCGCCGTGCCAGGCATACTGGGCAGGCAGAGCGAGGGCCCAGCTTAGCCCTGGGGTTTCTTAGCACCTGCGCCCCGCCCCGGGCCCTGTGGGAAAGGTTCTCATTGGCCTGGCAGGCTCCTGGGGTGGGGCCTCTAAAATGCCAGGGGCCTGAGGAAATAGCTTCCCTGCCTCCCCTTTTCCCTCACAGAGTGGATCAGTGGATCACGCAGACCCACACCTGGACCCTGAGGCCCTGAGAAGGAAGTGGACACGTCATGGAGGCAGAAGGACCAGAAGATCGCGCTGAGGTAGAGGCTCCCAGGGTCGGCCGCAGCGAGCACCGCAGACGCGCCCGTGTGGCTGTGGGAAGGTGACGCCCAGAGGGAGGCGGTGGCAGCCTGTCCTTAGCGCCACTTCCCAGAGGCCAGGCTCCCTTTTCCCGCTGGATCCTGGTGCCTGGGCTGGGTGACACACACATCTAGTCTCCATACATGGTCTATAGTGGAGAAGGAGGCAGTGCCGTAGGTCCGTGCCTCTGCCATCCTGAGCCCCCAACACCATGCTGGGAGGAGGAGCAGCCTCGCCCTGGGGGGCAGGGCTCAGGGCGGTTCTGACTTTGGGAGGAGGGCGTGAGGCGGCTGCTGAGACTTGGTGAGGTCCCAGGCGCCCACCTGACTACGGGATCGCCTTTCCTTGCAGGAAGAAGCCAAGGCCAAGGAGGAGGAGGGGTCCCTGACGAGGAGTGGCTGGTGAAGGTGAATCACTGCCGGCGGCCTGTGCCTCCGGACTGCTTCATGGTGTGCTGGAGAGGGAGAGACGGAAGCGCGCCCGAAAAGTGAGCTGCTCAACTTCTATGCCTGGCAGCACCGGGAGAGCAAGATGGAGCTGCAGCCACGCCCAGCCCGCCCTCAGGCTCCTCGGCCTTGGCCCTCCCAGCTTGATGAGGCCTCTGGCTAGGGGCTCCTGATGGGCGGCTTCAACCTGGTGGCTCACAGAGGGAGGGCGTCCCTACACAGTAGGGTTCCACCAGGCTCTGAAAGAGTCTGGGCCTGGCACCCTGTGTGGCGTCCCCCATCACCCCGGGCAGATGCATTTGCTCAATGGGTGGATCTGTCATCAGTGCCTCACCTTCTGGGCCCTCCTGCACTTAGCTGGCGCCTGCCAGCCTCAGCCAGCAAGAGTTCGAGGGTAGTGGGGCTTCCGAACCTACTGTGGGTGCAGGGAGGGTGCTGCAGAGTATGTGTGTTGGAGTGGTGGTGGTGGTGTGTGTGTCTCTGTATAAAAGCTGTGTATCAGGTACTTCCTGCACAGCGCCTGTGTGTGGGGTGTACAGGTGGCGTGGTGGAGGCTGTGGGTGTGTGGTGGTGTGTGTGGGTGTGTAGGTGTGGTGGTGGGGTGTGGTGTGGGTGTGGTAGTGTGTGCGGGTGTGTGGTGTGCGGGTGTGTGTGGTGTGCGGTGTGTGGGTGTGCAGTGTGTGTTGGGTGTGTGCGGGTGTGTCGTGTGCAGTGTGGGTGTGCGGGTATATGTGCAGCACATGCAGGTGATGTGTGTGGGTGTGGTAGTGTGCGGGTGTGGTAGCGTGGTGGGTGGTGTGGGTGTGGGTAGGTGTGGTAGTGTGCAGGTGTGTGCGGTTGTGTGTGGGTATGCGGGGGTGTGTGTGTGGTGTGGGTCAGGTGGCCTGCACAGGCCCCTCTCCTGGCTGTGCACCTGATCACCTGTGACCCACTTCCTGTGCTGCTGAGGCTCTCCTGTCCCACTGCCTGGGGTCCCTGTCTACAGGACAGCTTCCCTGTGGGCCCAGGGAGGAGTCTCTTGCCCTGCCTAGGGCACAGGGAGGGGCTCTGCAGCAGGCCCTGAGCCATTCGGGCCTAGTCACTGGTGCTTCCCCTGCCTCGCTGGCCTCTTGGCTCCCACTTGTGCCTTCTAGACCTCAGCTTCCTCCATGCCATCAGCCTGCCACTGACCTGGGCCACCCGTGACCAGAGTTACCATCGTCATTCACCAGCACCCAGGGTGGGGTCCCTACTGAGTCTCAGCTCTACCCAGGCCGAGCGGTCAGGGACTCTTCCTTCCTCCTTGCGCAGGGGTCGGGTGGGGGAAGTGATGCCTTGCTTTGCTTCATCTCCATTGGTGTATCTCCCTTGCCTTGACCTTGACTTGGCCTGCCGCTGGTTGTTTCCTTCCAGGATCCAGACCGCCCCTGCAAAGCAGAGCTGGGGGCTGGTGGGGAGACATGCCCCTTCTCGCGCCCCACAATAACTGGGAGTGAGGGGTGGGGCATGGATGGCCGGCTGTCCTGGGGGCGCATGTTCGACTCCTGCCCCCGCGCCTCCTCTCTCGCCCCTGTAGACCCAGCGCGCAGCTGCGCAATAGCCCGAGGAGCGCCAAGCAGAGGATTGAGCTGCTGCGGGCCCAGCGCACTCCACCCTACTGAGCTGCAGAGCCGCAGTGATGGCTGGAGGTGCGGGCCTGAGGAACATGAGATGAGGCAGTGGCTCAGCCATCTCCGAGAGGCCGAGCTCTTGGGAACGGGCCCCAGGTTGAGGCCACCCCGGGCCCAGCAGCTCCCATGAGGGTCCACACAGGCCAGGGAGTGGAAGGACCAGGCCACCCCTCGGTTCTGGGCTTCAGCAGTCCTGGGCACCTGTCCCTTCCTGGGTAAAAGTTCTGTGAGGAGGACTTGTCCCTTCCGCCTCCTGCCTACACACCTCCTGTCAAGGACCCTGCATGAATCCGGGGCCCTTGCTTTCACTTTTCCCCTCAATGAAAAGCCCTTGATGGTAACGAAACAGCCTCAAAAGCAGTGAGAATGCGAGAAGCTTTTATTTTCCACCCAGTTGGGCAGCAGGGAAAGGCTAGAGGCCCCAGCCCGCTCTTCCCTTCCAGCTGGCGGGAGGTTATTAGCCAGGGAGATGCGCAGCTCCTCCGAACTCCAGACTCTTGGTCTCCTCTGCAAGAGGTCACAGGACATGTTGTTGAGTCTCACCCTTCCCCTGACTACACCCTCCCAGGCTGGCGTCAAGACCAGTGAGGCCTGTCCCCACACGCCTGGCCTGTTGGGTGGCTCCTGGAACTCATTCCCAGTGTTGAGTCTGGCAGCACGAGAGGTCGCCGTGTCCAGAGCTACAGGTCCAGGCCCAGAGCTGCCAGCCAGGCTGTGAGCGTATTTCGTGCTGTAAGAAGGAGCTGATGGATACTGGCCACGTGCTGGGGTCTTCGGCCTGCGTGGACATAGTGATTGCCTGGGCACACAAACTGGGACCGGGCTGGGAGGAGGGAGATAGTGTGGTGAGGGCCAGAGGAGCCTAGGAGCTCCCAGGCCCTTGGGGCTAGGGCCCCCACAGCCTTTCTGGTTTCCCGCAGGCAGGAGTGGCTCCCATGGTGAGTTTCTACACACTCGGGCACCCTTGGAGCCCAGTCAGTCCATAGCACCCCAGGAGGTGTGTGTGTGTGTAAGCCCTGGGGACTTGGAGGCCTCCCAGCTGAGTTGCGTGTGGTTGCACGTCAGGGACAGGGCGGCTGAGGCTGTGGTTAAGGTGGATTGTATTAGGGAGGAGGTCCGTGAGAAAAATAATCAGATGTTGGCATGAGCAGCCTGCAGATTTGTGCGTCTCCTGCCTTCAAGAAGCCAGACGGAAGGCTCCCAGTCTGCCTTGGCTCTGACCAGGCAACCAGCCAAAGCCACAGGTACGCTTTCTTCCCCTTTGTGACAACGCCAGGAAACCTGCAGAGGCCCCAGAGTCAGGTAAAAGTGTCAGGTAGGTGACCATGAATCACCAGTGCTCGAGGAATTGGGGGTGCACAGCCACCCCACCTACAGCCAGCACACCACTGGCGAAGGGTGCGGGAGGGAAGAAGAGGCAGCCAGGTGTGCCTTGCTGTGGTTTGGGAGCCTATAAAATGTGAGACTAGGCTGGGCATGGTGGGGTTCTTCTGTCTGCAAAGCAGCACTTCAGAGGCCAAGTCGGGCAGATCTCTGAGGCTGTGGAGTTTGAGATCAGCCTGGCCAACATGGTGAACAACCTGCCTCTTAAAATATAAAAATTAGCTGGGCATGGTGGTGCCTGTAATCCCAGCTACTTAGGAGGCTGAGGCACTCCAGGAGTCTCTTGAACCCGGGAGGCAGAGGTTACAGTGAGCCAAGATCTTGCCACTGCACTCCAGCCTGGGCAAATGTGAGTGAGACTCCATCTCAAAAAAAAAAAAAAAAAAGGCGGGGGACTACAGTTAGCTGGGCATGATGGTGTGCACCTGTAGTCCTGCAGCTACTCAGGTAGAAACTTGAGAGGATCACTTGAGCCCCGAGCTGAGGCTACAGTGAGCTATGATTACTTTCACTGCACTCCAGCCTGAGCAACAGAATGAGACCCTGTCTCAAAAAATAAAATAAAAACTCTGGGACTGCCTCTAGCAGTTGGGTCACCTAATTGTGTCTGGCCCAGGCTGAGGGTGGGTACTGGTGATGATAAAAGTGAATCTCCTGCGCTAAAGGTCTCTTGCTCTGACTTCTGATGACATGTGTCCTCCCAGGGCCTCTAGACTGACCAGTGGAGCTATGAGGCCTGAGAGATCCTGGTGGTCACTTGTTGGACCTGGGGCCAGACCAGGGGTCTCTCTCCCAGTGCACGAGAAGAGATGGCCACGGCACTCCAGCCTGAGCAACAGAATGAGACCCTGTCTCAAAACATAAAATAAAAACTGTGGGACTGCCTCTAGCAGTTGGGTCACCTAATTGTGTCTGGCCCAGGGTGAGGTGGGACCAGAGTGGGTGACAGTGGCCGGACACCAGCTGCCTGAGCCCCGCCTTACCTCTTTGAGGGTGGACTTCAGCGTGTGTATCATGAACGACAGGGACTCCTTGTCAGAGTAACTCTCTCTTCTCACATCAAAATATCCGTGGACTGCTCTGGAAAGTGAGGAGTTGGGGTTGTTGGGGTTCATCTTAGAACCGCCTCCCAGCACTGCCCTCATCCTGCCCTGGGTTCAGGCCTCTGAGGAGAAACCAAAGCCTGGGCTACCCCACCTCCCACAGCCGGGTCCCTTGACCCTGGCTTGGATTTGAGGTTCAGTTAATCTCAGCTCACACTCGGCTGGCACAAGTCAGGCGCAAGCGAGTGCTTAAGGTACAGCCCTGCTGGGGCGCAGGGAGTTCAGGACTTGGCCACAGTCACAGCCCTGAATAGCAGAGCTGGGATCTGAACAGGCTCTGGAGTCCACACTTGCTCTGAGAGAATTTACGTCTTACAATCCTCCCATTGAAAGTCTACAATCCCGTGGTTTTTAATGCGTTGAGTTGTGAGACCATCGTCACAATTACAGAACATTTTCATCACCCCGAATGAAGTCCCGAACCTCTGCGCTTTCACACACACGCTCCCCCCGCCACAGGCTTCCGGTCCTGAGCAACCATGAACTGGCTTTGTCTCTGCAGTGTGTCCTATTTGGACTTGAGTGTGAATGCAGTCATACAACACGTAGATGGTTGGGTCTGACTTCTTCTGCTTAGCGTGAAGGTTCATCCACACTGGAGCCCATGTCCGTGCTTCGTTTCTTTTTATGGCTGAAAAATTGTCTGTGGTGGACCAGGCATGGTGGCTCATGCCTGTAATCCCAGCACTTTGGGAGGCTAAACTGGGCGGATCATGGGGTCAGGAGATGGAGATCAGTCTGGCCAACATGGTGAAACCTCGTCTCTACTAAAAATACAACAGTCAGTCAGGTGTGGTGGTGGGCACCTGTAGTCCCAGCTACTCGGGAGGCTGAGGCAGGACAATCGCCTGAATCCAGGAGGCAGAGGTTGCAGTGAGCCGAGATTGTGCTCACTGGTCATGGAGCCTTACCTGCGCATGCCCCCCGCTGACACCTGTGGAAAGGTGTGGGACGGCCCTGGCCCATCCCCGCTGCCTGAGCCCTTCCCTCCTCTGACCTTCCTCCTTCCATGACCCTGCTGCCAGGGGGGCTTCCCGAAAAAGATCTTGAGCCTCAGCGGTGTGGTCAACACAGAGAACTTGGAGCCTCATGCCAGGGCTCCCTCCCGGAGATCCCTGGCGCCCATGTGTCTTTTGGGGGTGACTGAAGCGCACTTGGTCCAGACTCACTTGATGAACAGGACGTGGGCCTGCAGCTTCCTGATGGAATGCGCATACAGCTCCCTGCTGACTAAGTCAACACTGTTCTCAGGCTGCAAAGACAAAAGCATGGTGAATTCCACCCTGGATCGGAGCCCAGGACCCCACCACATCACCGCCTCATTGAAGGCTCTTTAGCCCCTGGTGGCCAGAGACTCCTGCCCTCTCCAAGTCTGTTCTCCACTTTTCCTGGGTTCGTGGCTACCCAGCCTGACTCCATTTCCCATACTCCTTTGCCACTGGGTATGGCTGTGTGATTAAAGGCAGAGAAGTGACTTGGGCCACTTCTGGGCCTGGATTTTAGGATTGAGGCATGGCCCTTCCACACCCCTTTCCCAGTCCATAGGCTGCACCTCACGCTGTCCCCTGCCAGCCTGGGACAGGCTTCTTGCCAGGAGGAAGAAACTTGCTGGGACCACAGTGCAGGATGGGCACTCCATCATGGCCCCTGCCGGCCTCCTCCACAGCCCTGCCTGCCCTGTCTTGTGACAGTTTCACGTCTGGATGGCGGGGCTGTCGCCAGCTCCAGTGAGATGTGCTGTAGGTGTGACACAAAGCTGGATTTGGAAAACTTAGCATGCAAAATAATGCAGTCAAGTTTTATGTTGATTACATCTGAGATAACATTGTGGATGTTAAATAAATTCTCAGGCTGCAGAGACAAAAGCATGGTGAATTCCACCCTGACTGGGAGCCTAGGACCCTCACACTACCGCCTCATCAAAGGCTCTCTTACTTTGGTGGCCAGAGACTCCCGCCCTCTCCAAGTCTGTTCTTCCTCTCTTCCCTGGGCTCCTGGCTGCCCAGCCTGACTCCATTTCCTTTACTGCTTTGCCACCGGGTATGGCTGTGTGATTGGTCAGAGAAGTGACTTGGGCCACTTCTGGGCCTGGGATTTAATTGAAGTGTGGCCCTTCCACACTCTTCCAGTCTGTAGGTTGCAGACCACGCTGTCCCCTGCCAGCCTGGACAGCCTTCTTGCCAGGAGGAAGAAATCTCATGGGACCACAGCATGGCACTGATGCACCCACATGGCCCCTCAAGCCGGCCTCTCCTTTCGCAACCTGCCTGCCCTGTAAGGTGACAGTTTGCACGCTCTGATGGTGGGGGATGTGCCAGCTCCAGTGAGATGTGCTGTAGGTGTGACAGGAAGCTGGATTTGGAAAACTTAGCATGCAAAATAATGCAATCAAGCTTCATAAAATCACATCATGATGTTAAATAAAAATATGGAACAATTGATAGAGCTTATTTATTTATTTATTTTTGAGACAGAGTTTTGCTCTTGTTGCCCAGGCTGGAGTGTGATCTCAGTTCACCACAACCTCCACCTCCCGGGTTCAAGCGATTCTCCTGCCTCAGCCTCCTGAGTAGTTGGGATTACAGTAAGCTCGCCACAGCCCGGCTAATTTTGTATTTTTAGTAGAGACAGGGAGCACCATATTGGGTCAGGCTGGCCTTGCCCTGACCTCAGCTGATCTGCCTGCCTTGGCCTCCCAAAGGGGATTACAGGTGTGAGCCACTGCCTTTTCCCGCCTTGGGCCTTGCTGTTTTAACATAGCTGCTAGACAAATTTGAAGTTGCATGAGGCTCCCTGCTTCCCTTCGGACTGGGTTGCTCTTGATTTGAGGACTCTTAAGGGCAGGAGCTCTCAGCATTTTCTCTATTCCTAGTTCTCAGCACACGGAGTGCAGGCATGCTGAGTGGATTAATTCGGGAAGCTTGTAAGACCAGCTCCTTACTAAGTGACACAGCCGACTCCTCCACCTCCACCATCGTGAATACAAATTGCTATGGCTATGAACACACACACATACCTGAGAAAACTCACTGCCTTGTTCCACCCTGGTCAAGCCAGCCATTTTCTACTCTTTCAGACTAAATGACTCCGAGAGATGCCTTTCCTGAAACAGGGGTTCCCATACTGTCCCCAAGGCCTGCGTGCTCTCATGGCAGCTGGCACATCTCACAGCGGCGTGTACGGTTTCTCATGCCTGCACACAGGAGGGGCTTCCTGGGCACAATGTGAACAGGTAAACTTGACCCTGTCTCTACTAAACACAACAATTAGCTGGGCACAGTGGCTATGCCTGTAGTTCTCAGCACTTTGGGAGGCTGACGCAGGTGGGATCACCAGCCAGGAAGTTCAAGACCAGCCTGGCAAAATGGGAGTGAAACCACATCTCTACTGTAATTTGAGCAAAAACGTAGCTGGGCATGGTGTCAGGGCCTTAACCAGCTACTCAGGAGGCTGAGAGGAGAATTGCTTGAACCCGGGAAGCAGTAGTTGCACTGACCCAAATTTGGGCCAATGCACCCCAGGCTGGATGTGACAGAGAAGACTTGTTCTCTAAATAAATAAATAGAATGTGGGTGCTTTGTTTTATCAGCACATACACTGCCAAATTGGAACAATACAGAGAAGATTAGCATGGCTCCCTGCATAAAGGCATGTTGCGAATGAAATGTCTCTTTCCAAAAACAAAATTCAGATCACCTGAGGTCAGGAGTTCAAAACCAGCTGCCCAACATGGTGAAACCCCATCTCACCAAAAAATACAAAAATTAGCCCAGGTGGTAGAGGCGCCTGTAGTCTCAGCTACTCTGAGGCTGAGGCAGGACAATCGCTTGATCCCAGGAAGTGAGGTTGCAGTGAGCTGAGGACCCACCACTGCACTAGCCCGAGTGAGACTCTGTCTCAAAAAAAAAAAAAAAGAGGAAGAAATAGATGAAAAGTGGTTTTTTTGTTTTTTTTGAGGCAGGGCATTTACTAGGCTGGAGTGTAATCTCGCTCACCCAATCTCCACCTCCTGGTTAAAGCGATTCTCCTACCAGCCTCCTGAGCTAGGACTGATAGGTGTGGGTAGATCAATTACCCTCGCCAATTTCAGAGTTTCTGGTAGATACAAAGTTTCACCACGTTGGCCAGGCTGACGAAACTCCTGCCCGTCATCTGTCGGTCTCGGTGATCCCATGGTGCTGGGATTACAGGTGTGGTTTTCACTGCACCTGGCCAGAAATTCTAAAAATAAAAAAAAAAAAAAAAGAGAGGCCGCGCGGTGGCTCAAGCCTGCAATCCCAGCACTTTAGCGGCTTGCAGATCGGTGGATCACGAGGTCAGAGATCGAGACCATCCTGGCTAACACGGTGAAACCCCGGCCTCTACTAAAAAATACAAAAACTAGCCGGGCGACATGGCGCCTGTAGTCCCAGCACGGGAGGCTGGCTGAGGCAGGAGAATGTGGCGAACCTGGGAGGTGGAGCTTGCAGTGAGCTGAGATCCGGCCACTGCACTCCAGCCTGGTGACAGAGCAAGACCTGGCCTCAAAAAAAAAAAAAAAAAGAGTGATTTTGGGGGCCAGCTCCATCTTGGAATGTGTATCTTCTGCAACTAGTTTATGTCCTAACAAAGTCTTTCCATCCCTGCTTTTCCTCCTTCCAGCATTATGGGTGACCACGGTGCTCCCACTACAGAACAGGTCACATAAGCTATGGTCCCTAAGGACAGGGAAGGGGGTATCTCCAAAAGCCAGCAGACCACCACTGAGATCCATACAACTCCCACCACGCAGGTCAGCACACACACACGGGACAAGCTACCAGTGAGTGAGTATTGGTGGGTAGGGGAGGACAACCCAGCAGCGGGTATTGAGTAACTAGCTGTTCATCTAGGAACACCACAATGGCTGACCATAGTGGCTCACACCTGTAATCCCTATAAACTTTGAAACTGAGGCAGGAGGATATTTTTCACCAGGCATTCAAGACTAGCCTGGGCAATATGGCAAGACCTCTGTCTCTACAAAGTAAAAACTTAGCAGATGTGATAGCGCACACCTGTAGTCCTAGCTACCGGAGGCCGAGGTGGAAGATCACTTGAACCCAGCAGTTTGAGGCTGCGTGAGCCATGATTGAGCTATGGCACCCAGTATGGGTGACAGAGGGGAGAACCTGTCTCGAAATTAAAATAATAAATAGACTGAGCTCATGGTGGCTCACGCCTATAATCTGAGCACTTTGGGAGGTCGAGGCAGGTGGATCATCTGAGGTCAAGAGTTTGAGACCAGACTGGCCAACATGGTGAAACCCCATCTCTACCAAAAATGCAAAATTAGCTGGGTGTGGTAGTGTAGGTGCCTGTAATCCCAGCTTCTTTGGGGGCTAAGGAGAACGTCTTGAACTCTGGGAGGTAGGGTTGCGAGCTGAGATTGTGCTATTGTTTTCCAGTTTGGCAAATAAGAGCAAGACTGTATCATTAATAATAATAAAATTAAAAATAGAACTTTTTAAAACATGAAAAAAAAAAGAAAACGAATCACTACCTCACACCATGCTCAAGAACAATCCCACACGGAGCAAGACAAACACATTAACATTCCCAGACCATTGGCTAACACCCTCCTGTCCAAGCCTCATCTCGCCTGCCTGGGTTTCATGGTTCCCCTGCAGTTAGAGCTTCCCCACCTCTAATGACAGTCTCACACGTGTCCAGTGTTCTACCATTTTTGAACAATCACAAAATAGCACAGGCCAAGAGTACCTCCACAACAGCAGTGCGAGGCCACTCAACACACATGACCACCTAGTCTCGGCTAAACAACGCTCAAAGGTAGGCCCAGGGTTTCTAGCCGCTTGCTCAGAAACCAGCTGAATGAATGAAAGCACTTTCTTTCTGCACATGAGACAACCAAGGCTCAGAGAGGGTAGGCACCTTGCCCAAGGTCACATAGCCCCTCAGTGGCAGAGATGGCCAAGTTTATATTAATACAAGTGCTCCAGTGACACACTTCCAGGCTTCCAGATGGGACGCTGTTTTTTGAGAACTTTGTCATCCTGCCCCTCCCCTCTTCACAGCCTCTATCAGGAATCCCGCTGTCAACTGATGCACCAAGCTGACTTCCAGCTTTTCCCTGTGCAGTGGCCAGTGCCTAGAATCTCTCTCTCCTCTCCTCACCTCCACTGTCTCTATTTAATGCCACTGAAGTGCACACTTACAAACGGTTAAGTTGACCATTATTATGTATTATGTTACCTATGTAATTTTCTTTTTTTTTTGAGATGGAGTCTCACTCTGCTGCCCAGACTGCAGTACAGTGGTGCGATCTCGGCTCACTGCAATCTCTGCCTCCCATTCAAGCGATTCTCCTGCCTCAGCCTCCTGAGTAGCTAGGATTACAGGCGTGTGCCACCACGCCTAGCTTTTTTTTTTTTTTTTTTTTTTTTTTTTTTTTTTTTTTTTGGGCACAGCGCAGACTGACGGGCAGCTCCACCTGCCACCCTGGCACGTAGTCACTAGACGGTAATAGCTGGGCTTCTGAGTTGGGTGGGGACTTGGAGAACTTTTTTGTCTAGCGGGAGGATTATATATGCACTAATCAGCACTCTGTGTCTAGCTTGGGGTTTGTGGATGCACCAATCAGCCCTCTGTATCTAGCTAATCTGGTGGGACTTGAGAACTTTTATGTCTAGCTGGAGGATTGTAAATGCACCAATCAGCACTTTGTGTCTAACTCAAGGATTGTAAACCCATCAATCAGCACCCTGTGTCTAACTCAGGGATTGTAAATGCACCAATCAGCACCCTGTCAAAATGGACCAATCAGCTCTCTGTAAAACAGACCAATTGGCTCTCTGTAAAATGGACCAATCAGCAGGATGTGGGTGACGTCAGATAAGGGAATATAAGCAGGCTGCTGGAGCTAGCAGCTGCAACTGGCTCAGGTTCCTTCCTCAGATTGTGGAAGGTTTGCTCTTTTCTTCGCACAAATCTTGCTGCTGCTCACTCTTTGGGTCCGCACCGCCTTTATGAGCTGTAACACTCACTGCGAAGGTCCACAGTTTCACTCCTGAGGCCAGTGAGACCACGAACCCAACCAGAAGGAATGAACAACTGCAGACGCATTGTCTTTATGAGCCTAACACCTCCACTGCGAAGGTCTGCAGCTTCACTCCTGAAACCAGCGAGACCACAAACCCACCAGAAGGAAGAAACTCTGAACACGTCCAAACATCACAAGGAACAAACTCTGGACACACCATCTTTAAGAACTGTAACACTCACCACGAGGGTCCACAGCTTCATTCTTGAAGTCAGCGAGACTAAGAACCCACCAATTCGGACCCACCCTCCCCTTCAGGGTGAGGGTCTCATTCCCAGCTGGTGGGGAATGGCAAGGGCGCCATCAGCCCCTCTGAGAATGTCCCTTGGCTGGGTGAGAGCTGCTCTTCCCAGGAGTTCCCTGTAACCCATGTCCAGTCAACTCAAGGACATCCCTGCTTCGAGCCCTCCTGAGGGGGCATGGGGAGCCTGCATTGCCCTCCTGCTGTTGGCTGTCCCTTGCATCCTGCAGGCATGGCCCTGATAAGACACCCTCAGAATGCACCCACCCTCCAGCCTGGGCAACAGAGAGAGATCAGATCTCCAAAAAAAAAAAAAAAGCACCCTCCAACAGAACCCGGCAGCGGTCACATTCATTCACCCAACACCTCTTTTTTTTTTTTTTTTTTTTTTTTGAGACAGAGTCTCGCTCTGTCGCCCAGGCTGGAGTGGTGGTGTGAACTTGGCCTACTGAGAGCTCCTGCCTGGGTTCATGTCATTATCCCATCTCAGCTCTCCCAAGTAGCTGGGACTACAGGCGCCACCACCACCCAGCCAAGTTTTTTTGTATTTTGTAGTGGAGACGTGGGTTTCACCACGTTAGCCAGGGATGGTCTCGACTCCTGACCTCGTGATCCTCCTGATCAAGGTCTCCCAAAGTGCTGGGATTACAGGCATGAGCCACTGTGCCCAGCCTCATTCACCCAATACATCTTACCAGGCTCCCAGTGAACAAAACAGACAAGCCCTGCCGTCATGGAGCCTGACAAGCAGGTGATGGGACAGACCACTAGAAAAGACAAGGGAACTCCTGAATGTGTTACTTGGAGGCTGTTACAGAGAAAAGTGGAGACAAAGTGGCTAACAGGATGCTGTGAGGAACTGTAGTTGTTAGGATAGTGGAGGTCAGGGAAGGCTCACCAACTTTGATGACATTCATATTTGAGAAAAGACAAGAGTGGCTGGGCATGCTGGCTCATGCCTATAATCTCAGCGGTTGGGGAGGCCTAAACAGGACGGTTGCTTGAGGCCAAGAGTTTGAGACCAGTCTAAGCAACAGAGTGAGACCACATCTCTACAAAAAATTTAACAATGAGCCGGGCATGCTGATGTGTGCTTGTAGTCCTAGCATACTGTATTCAGGGGCTGAGTCAGAAGATTACATACCCAGAAGTTCGAGGCTGTGGTGAGCTATGATCACACCACTGCACCAGTTGTTTGACAGAGCAAGGTCCCATCCCCCTACTGCACTCCCCCACACACACACACACAAAGGGTTGGGCATGGTGGCTCACGCCTGTAATCCCAGCACTTTGGGAGGCCGAGGCAGGTGGATCATCTGAGGTCAGGCATTTGAGACCAGGCTGCACAACATAGT